TCATTCTTCTTTGCTTCCAACACTAGGAGATCATTAGCTGCATCTTAGATGGCCACTTGAAAGCTTTGAAGACCCCAGTCACTATTCACCAATGTAGGATGTGGAACAAGGCTTTTATGTATTTTGTTGTGCCAATTGAGTCTGGTGTCCCCCAGTACTATGGTCCATAGATCTGTTGAATCTCTCTCCCATAGTGTCTGTGTTTGTGAGAGATTACTCTGTGTCTGTTGTCTATTGATTTAAGGCTTTGGAGATGAGGTGATGAGGTGAATATGTTTTGTATGCAGGAAGGACATGAAGTTTGGGTGGACAAAGGGTGGAATTCTATGGATAGAATTGTTCCCTTCCAAAAAGAGAGAGAGAGAGAGAAAAAAAAGAAAATCTTAACCGCTATACTTGTGTATGTAATCCTATTTGAGAATAGCATTTTATTTATTATGTTAATGAGCCCATGTAAGTGTATGGTGTGACTTAAGCCACTCACCTTCAAGGTATAAATCAAGCATGTTTTGACACAGAAAAGAAAACACAAATTGAACAGAAGATACACACCACATGATCTCCAAGGAATCTAGGAATAGAAGCTGAAGTGAAACAAGGATGTTCTCCCAGAGGAAATAAATATAGAGAGAGCCTTTCCCTGGAACTGGAACCTTGAATTTGGACTTCTAGCTTCCTAAATTTTGAGAAAATAAATTTATTGTCATTAAAGTCACCTACTTGTGATATTTCTATTATAGTGTTGTTGTTGTTGTTGCTATTTGCCCTCGAGTCAGCCCTGACTCATAGTAGCACTGCATAATTAAGACACCTACTAATCTCCTATTCATCACTGCTTTCAGTCTCAATAGGATATATGATCTATTCCCTCACCTAAAAATACTTAATAATTTCTTCCTGTTGATATTTTCCAATTTACCTTACACTACTTTTCATTGTATTCACTTGTACAATTTTCTTAGTCCCTCTAATGGAATATAAGCTCATGGAGGACAAGAACTTTTCTTCACTCTATAAATGATGCACATGGTAGTTATAAGTGTAGCCTGCCTTTGGTTTATATACATATATATGTGTACACATATGTAAACATACATGTACATAGGAGTCCTGAGTGACACAAATGGTTAAGCACTGGACTACTAACTAAAAGACTGTACCTCATGCTATACACAAAAACAAACTCCAGATGGATGAAAGACTTAAATGTGAAACCTAAAACTATAGAGTTCCTCAAGGAAACACTAGGGACAAATTTAGGGGTGCTAATATATGGCATAAATAGACTATCAAACATAACCCAAAATGCATAAACAGCAGAAGAGAAACTAGATGAATGGGACCTTCTAAAAATCAACATTTTTATGTGTATCCAAAGACTTCTCCAAAAGAGTCAAAAGAGAACTTACAGATTGGGAAAAAAATATTTGGTAATGACATATCTGACAAGGGACTTATTTCTAGAATTTATAGAAAACTCCAACATCTCAATGGCAAAAAAGACAAACAATCCAATTTAAAAATGGGCAGAAGACATGAATAGAAACTTCAATAAGGAGGATGTTCAAGTGACCAACAAACATATGAAGAAACACTCACGATCATTAGCTATTAGAGACATGCAAATCAAAACAACAATGAGATACAATCTTGCTCCAGCACTAGGAGCAAAGTTCAACAAGACACAAAATAAAAAATGCTGCTGAGGATGTGGAAAGATTGGGACTCTCATACACTGCTGGTGGGACTGTAAAATGATACAACCACTGTGGAAAACAGTATGGAAATTTGTTAAAAAGTTGGAATTGGAAACACCATTTGACCCAGCCATGCCATTACTAGGTACCGTAAAGAAGTGAGAGCCATGACAAGAACAGACATATGAACACCCATATTCATTGCAGCACTATTTACGATAGCAAAAAGATGGAAACAACCTAGGTATCCATCAGCTGAGGAATGGATAGCTAATCTATGGTACATACACAAAATGGAATACTATGCAACCCTAAAGAATAACATAGAATCTGCAAAACACCACATAACATGGATGAACTTGGATGCTAAGTGAAATAAGTCAATCACAAAAGGACAAATATTGCATTAGTCCGTTATTGTAAAATCAAGGAAAAGTTTATTTATGGAAGGACATTATCTTTGTTGGTTAACAGGGGTGGGGGGGGGAGAGGAGGGAACACTGTTAGATACGTAGAGATAAGTATTGATTTGGGTGAACAGAAGGGCAATGTGAGTGATCAACATGGTGGCATTGAGGAAGAGTAAGACATAAAGAGGTACATGGGAAGTACAGACAACAAAGATGAACCCTTTTGCACATAGAGTACTGTGTTGTCAGTGAAGGCAAACATAGGTATACAGGTGGATAGATGAGTGAACAGGCTGTACTATTAGGTATGTCTATGAAGTGGGAAGTGTACCCAAGATCATGTATAGGATTGGCAGACAGTGGTGAGATAAGTTTATTTGTATTATCTGAATTCCCAGGGGTATAGTAGATCTGACAAGGGAGAAGGTTGTAGTCACTGCTTGGTCACAGCCAGCTACCTAGAGAGAATGAGTAGTTGAACCTGTTGGCTTGGGACCATAGTCACACAGGACATCAAGCTCAATTGGCATAACATACTAAACAAAATGTTATTCCATCTCCTACTTTGGAGAGTAGCAACTGGTATCTTAAAAGCTTGGAAGCAGCCATCTAGATGCAGCAATGGGTCTCTCCTCATCCAGAGTAAAGAAGAATGAAGAAAACCAAAGATTCATGGAAACAATTAGTCCTAGTAACTGGTACACCATGCGATCCACAGCCTATATTATGACTATGAGACCAGATGAACTAGATGGTGCCTGGCTATCACTGTCAACCACATGGAGTGGGATCTATGTAGGAGATCTTGGGTAAAGAGGGAGAACAATGTGGAACAAAACTCAAATTCATTTGGAGAAAAAAAAGTGGGACCAGGTTTGCTCATCTGGTGGAACCACTGAGACTATGGCCCCTAGCTGCCCTTCAGATCTGGAATTGAACTCACACCTGTGGCTTCCAGCCAAACAAAAGACAGGCATATGAGTTGAACATTTACCAAAAGTACACACTCCTTGGAGAGCACAATCATGAGAGAAAGGAGGGCTGTTTATGCACAGGGAGACAGCTCAAGGGGCAGGAGTTCATGAAGGGATGGACACAGGGAAGACGTAACTATTGGGAGGAAGTGGGAGGGGAGCTGTTGCATTGTGGTAAATTGTAGTCAGTATCATGAGACAAAGTGTATGTGAACTGCCGTATGGAAAGTGAATTTTCTCTGTAAATTTTCACCCAAGTCACACACAAAAAAAGGGATATGGAAGAAAAAAAAAAAAAAAAAACAGCCATTAAGCTGGATTTGGCCTATGGTTTGCCACCCTCCCTAGTGTTAGGGAGCTCTGGTGGTGTAGCGCCTAAGGCATTTCACTGCTAACCAGAAGGCTAGAGGTTCAAACTCACCAACCACTCCTCAGAAGGAAGGTTGGACAATCTACTTCCATAGTGATACTGTCTCGGAAACCCAAGGAGGGATCACTGTGAGTTGGATCCGAATTGACAGCAGTGAGTTTGGTTTTATTTTTTGGGGTGGTGGGGGTGGTTATTGTTACATGCTGTGTACTCTGTACTGTGGTCATATAAGGAACAAGTACTGGACCGACTGGGCATCAGAGGCCTGATCATGGTCTCTTCCACTTAACTATTAGGAGACTGTGGCTAAGCAACTTCACCTCCATTTTCACAACTCTTCAATATCTGTTGAAGAGCTGTTCTGCTTACATGTGTGTGACACTCCAATGAAAGCCTGTAGCATAGCTTATTCCTACTATCAGTATCATTCTAATAAACATATATAAGCTCAAAAAAAAAGATATCTTTGTGTAGTTAAGACTAAAGCTACACATGCCATGAAAGATAAAATAAGAAAAAAAAATTAAAGAGATTTCTTAGGTGAATTCATGGAACGGAAGAGCTGTCTACAAATAAAAAGTAAATTTTCCATTCCATTTGTAGTAACGTAACTATTTGTTTTTGTTGTTGTCTTTCTTAGTTTTGACATAAAATTGAAAGAGAGACATAATCTCCAGATACAGTAAAGAAAGCTATTTTTCATAAATTTTAATTTTACATGCTATAGGAAAAATCTTGGTTCTTTAATAATTGTTTTATAAGTTGCATTTTCATTACATTCTGGAATATAGTTAAAACCATTCTGTACATTTTATATTCCTAGATGAACTATAATTAAATTAGTAATAGGGAAAGGTAGGAAGCCTTGCTAATATAATTGTATTTAATGTTCTGCTTTCCAAATATTTGCTCTTTAAACAAAATAAAATAAATATCTGTATGCTAGCCAAGTGAAACATTCTATTTATACAAGCTCTACATTGAAATAAAAAAAAAGCTTTTTCAAAACAACAACAAAAAAATAAACACCTTCCTCACAATCCTGGAATGAGAGCTAACAGACTGGCATTGTCTTATTGGCTGCTTAAGTTATAGTCCTATTTATCTTCAGGGTTATTATGTATTGGGAGATCCAATGGTGATTCAGTGGTAGAATTGTGGGAGACTTGGGTTCCATTCCCAGAAAATATGCCTCATGTGTAGTAATCACCAGCCCTCAGTACAGACTCTCATGTTTTTATGGTGTTTAATGTGTTTTAGTAGAGCTTTCAGACAAAGAAGGATGAGAAAGGCCTGGTAATCTGTTTTTGAAAATAAGCCAGTGAAAACTATGGATCATAATGGACAAATTCATAATCAATTATGAAGATGGTACAGGACAAAACAGTGTTTCAATCCATTGTACAAGAACTTGAAAAGAGTCAGGGTACAACTCATGTTAGGCAGCTAATAACATATCTGTACCCATCTGATGCTAAAGAAAATTAAAACAAGTGTACGAGAGCTAAAATATGGCCTTGATTATATCCCTTCAGAATTTAGAGACCATCTGAAGAATACATTTGATTCATTGAACAACAATGAACAAAGACCAGATGAGTTATGGGATGACATAAAAAAAAATTCATACCTGAACAAAACAAAAGGTCATTAAAAAGACAGAAGATGGAAAAAGACCAAAATGTCAGAAAAGACTCTGAAACTTGCTCTTGTATGGAGAGTAGTTACAGTGAACAGAAGAAATGATGAAATTAAAGAGCTGAACAGAAGATTTCAAAGGGAAGCTAGAGAAGACAAAAGAAAGGAGTGTTATAAATAAATGTGTATTTTCCTGGAGTAATAAAGCCAAAATGGAATAATAAACTTGGAATTTCTCAAGCTAAAAGAGCTGAAGAAATATTTCAAGCCTTGAATGACAATATTGAAGGATACTATAGGCAAAATATTGTATTATGCATGTGGCATCAAAGAAGATGGAAGGAACACAAGTCACTGTATCAGAAAGAATTGGTAGATCTTCAACTATTTCAGGATGTAGTATATGATCAAGAACAAATGGTATTGAAAGAAAAAGTCCAAGCTGCACTGAAGCACTTGGCAAGAAACAAAACAAACAAACAAAAGGCTCCAGGAATCAATGTAATACCCACTGAGATGTTTCAACAAACAGATGGAGCGATGAAAGCACTTACTCATTTATGCCAAAAAAATTGGAAGACAGCTACTTGGCCAACCACTGGAAGAGGTCCATATTTGTGCTCATTGCAAAGAAAGGTAATCCAATAGAATGTGGAAATTATTGAACAATGTCATGGAAATATGAAGAAGAATGTGGCGTGAGAATTGGAGGAAGAGTTATTAACAATATGTGATACGTTGATGACACAACTTCTCTTGCTGAAAGTGAAGATGATTTGAATCACTTACTGATGAAGATTGAACACTACAGTCTGAAGTATGGAAATTCTTACAACTGGACAAATAAGCAGCATCACTATAAATGGAGAGAAGTTTGAAGTTCTCAAAGACTTCCTACAATCAATAACAATGGAAGCAGCAG